ATTAGGAGAGGGACTCCCCTGTCGTGGGTGCAATACCTCTTTCTATCCATCTCTCTCTTGACGTGTAGTGCTCTCTCTCTCTCTCTCTCTCTCTCTCTCTCTCTCGACGCGCCTTGAATAGGTAAGTTATTCTCCTAGATTACACCTTTATGTGCATACTCAATTTGCATAATAAAGCATGAAAGTGTGGTATGCTTTTCTACTCAAATACAGTTGGTTTGTTCTTTTCCTTTGGTGATAAAGGCATCTTTTGTGCAGGCCTTTTTTATTTACTTAACATGAAAATTGGTGTGCATATTTTGTCAAAATATGGTAGAGGTTGTTTTACATCAAACATCAAGAGTCCTGCTTAGTCCATCACCTCGTCTTCACTGAACACCTACTGCCTCCGAGACTTTCTTACCTCTCCGAGAATGGAGGTACTTGTTTGTTTTGGGAAGGGTGGGGGGGGGGGGGGGGGGGAGGGCACTTTAGGAGAAGTGACCCGATGCATGTCGGGGAATGGCTCTATCTACCTGAAGCTAAGCATAGAGCTTGCTGGTAGCACTTTGACTTCGGACACAAAATTAAGTTTTAGTACAGGTTAAGAAGGGAGCTTTAGTAATATTCCCAAAATAAGATGACTTTAATTATTAAAAAAAAAAAAAAAAAAAAAAAAAAAAAAAAAAAAAAAAAAATGCACTTTAGAAACATACCCAAAAACCATTTACTACATATGAAATTAGTATTGAAGTTTCTATAAATTACATCTCTGCCATTGATTAACTTAAAACAAGCCTAACACAAAATTCCCAAAAAAATCCAAAACAAGCACAGCAAGCCCACCTCGGATTTTTTTGAAAAAACCCAAACTTAAAAATATAAAATAAACAAAAATCACCAAAACCAAGGGCATGTCCCCATGACCCTTCATTCTTCACCAAACCTCTGCAAACCATGTCATAGAAGTACATTGTTAATACCATGTCATAAAATACATTATTAATACCATGTCATAAAAGTACATTATTAATAACATATCATAGAAATACATTGTTAATACTATGTCATAGAAGTACATTGTTAATACCATACCATAGAAGTACATTGTTAATACAATTTCATAGAAAAAACATTATTAATACAATATCATAGAAAAATATTATTAATACCATTTCATACAAACTCAAAAAAACCTAAAAAAGCCTAGCTATCCGATATACTTTGCAGCCACCTCCAATTGTCCACAATTTCACCAGATAAATCGCAAAGGCAAAAGGAAATACCTCTATAAGAAAAGAAAAAAAAATACATAGTTAATACTATGTCACAGAAGTACACTGTTATACTACGTCATAGAACTATGTTCCTAGTAAAAATCACATTTGCATATCATAAACTTCAAGTGCATAGCTATATATAAAGCAAAATATAGAGCATGTTTTGTTACTGAAAATCCATTAATACTATGTCATAGAAGTACACTGTTAATACTAACAGAAGACCAAAATGAAATCAAAGCATGACCATTAAATTTAGCTGCAATTCCATTACAAACTTGCAAGGCAAAAGAGCAAGCACTCTTTCAGCTACAACTTAGAAGCAAAAACAAGTGTACAAAACTAATACAATAAATAAACCAACTTTCTCATTTTCTAACTCTAAAAATGAGGAATTTGTGAATATTGACACATTTTATCAGCAACCCAATTTACCAATACATATGTACCTTACCCAATTTTTTTGTTCAACTTTTATAAGACTCTTAGCTAGCAGCTTGAAATGATGTATAAAGTTTGGTCTCTTGGTTGGGCCGTAGTTTGTTGGCTAAGCATTGCAGGAGTTAGGGGTCAGATAGTGGTTTATTTGTGCATGACTTAACCAATGTGTCCTAAGCAAGACATGCTTCAAGGCAATGAATACAAAATATGATTAATCGTTTATTACATTTTAAATGCTGCTTGTTTCGCTGTGTTACCTCTTTGTGTAAAACCTAATCTTGGCCAACAAGTCTGAGCAACCTGAAATCAAGGTAAAATTTGTAAATACAGAGATGAAAGTCTAACTCTTGTTGTAAGTGCGAGGTTATGAGTATCCGAAGACTTAGATCATTGGACAATTATGAAATTAAAAAAATTTATGTATCTATCTATGTTCTTTGGATTATTGGACAACACCAAAACTAAATGAATTAAAACATATGATGTACCTAACAAATAGGCTTTGGTCAATCATAGAGCTAGTAGTAGGAAAACCGAATTTGGTTAATATTACAGGGAACAGTCCTAGGAATGGAGGAAAGGCTTACATCCTCTCTGTAATGTATTGGCTAATTTGTATTTTTGGTGCCCCTAAAGAAAGAAAGGACTAAAATAAACCAAGGCAAATACGCCTATCACGACTAAAGAACAAATAAATTAGTTTCCTTCCATATTGAAACGATCATAAACCACAACATAAAAGTTAACATGTTCAGATCTCTAACCTAAGCCATACAAACTATGTCGTTGAATTTAAAACGTTCACAAGCCAACACACAAGAATAAATGGTGAAAAACGTTCATCATAAGAATAAACGGTGAAAATACGTACATAAGAAGCTTGTTGATCTCATGGATCAGGACCCAAGTCCACCTTCTAAGTTGTAAAACATCGTTCCCGAGGTCGGTGTATCATGCTCTTCAAAGAAGAGCTTATTTAATGGCAGCCGTAGAGAGGAAGACGAAGTGGTAGCCCTTCTGGCTTTGGAACAATCGTCGTCGTTGGCATCAGCAAACAAGAGATCTCGGTTGAAAATCACGAACACCGGACAGATCTAGCCATTTTGGAATATATCGGCGATCCATCGAGGTTGGTGCAGGCGAAAGAGAAATCGTCTTTATCTTCGTTCTTCTCGCAATCACCACCGATGTAGGCGTTCTGAACACCTTCGTCTGGCAATTAACATCTCAAATCTATAGAGTAGCCACATGAAACTGAAATCAAGTCGAAATTCAAGTAAATGGAGGTATCGGCGGCGAGAATACATGTGAGGTCACCGATGTAACAGAGATTGTCGTCGGTGTGACGAGGGAGGATTTTTCTACCATAGCTATAGAATAGTTTAAAGTTTCGTTGGTCTTGTGTTGGTCCATGGCTCTGAGACTGTTTGGTTTACTTTGAAGGTAGAGAGAGGGAAGAAGGGAGAGAACAGTGGAAAGATGAGGGTTTGAAGGAGGGGAGGGAATTTTTATGTTCTCTGCATTCTAATTTAAACAATATCCAAAACTAATTTAATGCTAAAAATGGTAATAAAGGTATTTGATCTTATTAATTCAATTAAAAATATACAATTGTTGATTTATGGGTTTATTTTGGGTATGTTTATAAAGATGAAATGGTAGGGTTTTGTAATAGGACCAGGTGTAGAATTGGGTATTTAACTAAAAAACTAAACAAAAAATGATTACTCAGGCCCCGTTTGGGATTGCTTTTTTTGGCCAAAAACCTACTTAACTTTAAAGTTAAGCAGTTTAAGGTGTTTGGTAAAAATAAAATATCCTGCTTATTTTAAAAGCAATGGTCTTTTGATAGCAGCTTTTAAAAGCAACCTCGGGGTTGCTTTTTAAAGCTGCTTTTAATTGAAGCAGCTCACTCCCTTTAATGAAATTTTCGCAATTCCACAAATACCCTTATTAGGTTAGAAATTTATCCTCACGTATTTCTCACAAATCTGCAAACACCAAGTTCATCACATAGCCTCACAAGTTTGGAGACAACCATTCGCTCAATCTCTCTCAATCTCTTTCACAAGGTAGATTATCAATCTCTTCAAAGTTATTGATTATAATTTTCTGGAATATATTTATTCTTCAATCTCTCAAAATTTTTGTAGACTGTGCTGTTTTTTTTTTTTTTTTTTTTTTTTTTTTTTTTTTGGAGTTTCTGTAGAACTAGATGCTACATAGCCAGAGCGCCTTTCTATGGCAGCTCCTGGAGTTGTTGTTGGAGGGTGCCTTTTGTCTTCCCTATGCATCACATGTTCTCTGTTTCTTTATGTGTGCTCCTGCCTTACATCTGTTTTTCTCCATTAAAACTTGAAAATTAAAATTCAATTCCAAAGTCTCCCTCGTAATCTAACCTTATGATCGTGCCAATTAGATTGTCTATTATATTGTTTGTTTTCTTGTATTGTTTGGGGGAAGAGATAGAAGGCCTTCATGCACTTTGTTTAGGAGCATGAAGTCCTGATGTTCGTTGACAATAACTTTGGCTATAAATTGATGTATGTTCACAAAAGATTCTTAGCTTAAAAAAGAGGTGATATCTGTTGGATAATAGGGCTATGTATTTTGCTCATATATATTTCAATTGAAGGTACGTACTTTAGTTTTTTTTTTTTTTTTTTTTTTTTTTTTTTTTTTTTTCTTTAGTACATGCTCTCTTTCTTGGCTTGATAATCAGTTTGGTCTCACTACCATTGCTTACACTATCAACAGCTTCAGACTTTCCCACTCAATATTCATCATCACCACTCAATATTTATTTTCTAGAGAGCTTGATGAAATAAAAGAAATAAAAGTTTGCTCTTTATTTTTATTTTCCATAAGTGATATATGTATAGTTTTTCTTTGACTTCAATTAATCTTTGTTATCTTGTATGACTTGGTGTATTGCTTAGGCACTATGCATGTTTTTAGTAAAAACATTATTTGTTATAACATGTTCATCTCCCAATACATACATATTTATATAAGGACATGCATAGATGGTGAAGAATAATAATGTGGCTAGTGGATCATGAGTTCCGGCTGTATGGAATAATCAGAATACAACTATATTTTGTGACCTGTGTATCAAGGAGGTGGAGGCAAGCAATCGTCCTGGTACTCACTTTAAGAAAGAAGGATGGGAAAATGTGAGGATTAGCTTGAGTAAAGAGACAGGAGCCGAGTATGATAATTCACAATTGAAAAATAAGTGGGATGCACTTAAAGAACAATGGAAAATATGAAAAGAACTAATCGGAAAGGAAACTGGTCATGGGTGGAATTCCAAACTTGGGACTATTAATGCTTCTGATGAATGATGGCATAACAAAATTGAGGTATGTTATTAATATTTGTTAATGTTGTTTGTTTATTATAATTCAATGCAACATCTGTAATAGTTTTTAATGTTGTTCTCTTTGATTTGCAGATAAATCCCAAATATGCAAAATTACGTAGAAAGGGTATAAGTCCTGATATGGAAGAGAAGTTTGACAGAATGTTCATGAACACCACCGCCACTGGTGACCATGCTTGGGCACCTTCATCTGGTGTACTTCCGACTCATGATTCATTCGAATGTGATGGTATTCTACTCGATAGTGGTGATGATTCTGATGATCTCGTATACGTACTAGATGAAACAATTCAAGTTACTGGAAAATTTTGTGGGAAGGGGAAAAAGAGAACAAATCAACAACTTGATACACACACTACTACAAAAAAGGAAAAACACGACGGGAATTCACCGTCGTGTATTCTGTTTTCAAATGGTCGTGGAATCCACCGACATCTTTTCCATAACCAAACCACGACGGTGAATAACCGTCGTTGTTAAAACAAAAAACGTCATCAAAAAATAAAAACCGACGTCTTTGTGCTGCAAAAAGACATAAAAAAACAGTCGAGGATGAGAATAGACGACCAACTCCAACAAAAAAAACGTCGTTAAAAAGGAAACATATGACATATATTAACAGAACATGGCCGCAAGATAAACATACAACGACGAGAACTAAAACTTAACGCCGTTAAATAAATATTTAACGACAAATATAAATATGACGTCTTTACAATCATAATAGACGACGTTATTGACACCTACTACGTCACAACATTTCCCACAACCGTCGTAAAATAAATTTTCCACTTCGATTTTTCTATGAATTATGACGTGGAAATAGATGTCAGGGTCATTACTTACGACGCATGTATTTACAGAGACGACGTTGAAATGAATAAATAACGTCGGTTCCAAATAAATGAGAGCCGTATTACAGAATTTATACGTCATATTTTGAAAATAAACGACGTGGAAAAAATGATGGGTCATTAATTACGACACAGTAATTTATAATGACGACGTTGTAGTCTATATACAACGTCGTTACCATTAAAAAGGCCGTCGTCTTTAATAATTTATACGTCTTCATTAAAAAATTGACGTCGTCTAATTCATATATCTTAACGTCGACAAGTTTAATGGACTTCAAATACCGTCGTAAAATAAATTTTCCACTTCGATTTTTCTATGAATTATGACGTGGAAATAGATGTCAGGTTCATTACTTACGACGCATGTATTTACAGAGACGACGTTGAAATGAATAAACAACGTCGGTTCCAAATAAATGAGAGCCGTATTACAGAATTTATACGTCATATTTTGAAAATAAACGACGTGGAAAAAATGATGGGGTCATTAATTACGACACAGTAATTTATAAGGACGACGTTGTCGTCTATATACAACGTCGTTACCATGAAAAAGACCGTCGTGTTTAATAATTTATACGTCTTCATTAAAAAAATTAACGTCGTCTAATTCATAAATCTTAACGTCGACAAATTTAATGGACTTCAAATACCGTCGTGAATTCATCCTTTTCCACTTCGTTTATGAAAGAACATGCGACGTGGTAAATTCATGACGACGTCGTCTTTTGTAACGTTCAGGTTAAAGTTCTCGTCTTTTAGACGTCGGTATTATGGATTGGAGTCGTGTTATTTTGAATTACATGGCGGTTCTTTATGCTTGTCCGACGTGTTATCCTGGATAACTGTTTCACAATAGCGTCGTGGTTCTTCATTGTTACGTTGCTTTAAGACGTCGGTAAATATATTGCGGTCGTTGAATGCTCCAAAACGTCGTTATTTATTAGAACAGACGTTTGTTTTTCACATTTTTATCAAAACCGTCGTGTTTGTAATCTGGAACCAGTAATTTTTGTACTGATTGTTTTGTGGCCAAAACCTGTATAATGAAAGTGAAGAAATCACATTACAATATATTACAAAATTAATGTCATACACTGCCAATTACATAAAGCATCATTCAACCCATATATCTTCACACCCATCTCGAATATTTTGACTCCCTAACTCAACCACCACTTCATCAAATGTGTCAACATTTGGCATCCCCCTAGTAAATGGCTCACACTCAATTCTCACATCACCTAAGACATCATCACCAATAACATCATTATATTCTCTATTAGGCATTGATAACACTACCGACCAACCACGATGCATCGGGTCGTCAACAAAAAATACTTGTTTGACTTGAGAAGCCAAAACAAATTGGTCATTCCTATGTCCAATTTTACTCAAATCTACAAGGGTAAATCCAAGTTCGTCCACTACAAGACCAGAAGTATTATCAATCCAATCACACCTAAAGACTGGGATTGTAAACTTTTGGTAGTCAAGGTCCCAAATTTCTTGAATGACACCATAGAAACCCATATTTGAGAGAATTGGGTTTTTATCCTTGGCACTAGCAACTTGCATAGTATGTGCAAGTAAATAAACTCCACTATTTTGAGTTGTCCGCACATCATCTTGTGCCTTGATGTTGAATTTAATACCTTTAATGAGATAGCTCCTATATAATGGCACTGCCATGTTTGGACCAGCTGCTAGCCACCTTAAATTTTCTGATACGCCATGATTGTCTTCCTCATTAAGTTCACTTTGAACCTGCAAATTAATCATAACTTAATTCAATCTAACATAGAAAGAAGAAAATTAAAAGTCCAATATGTTATTCAATAACATATACCTTGAAGCGTAGCCATTGAATGAAAGTGCTATTGTGCTTATCCTGCAGCCACTTTGTTCTCTTTCTAAATTTTGGATAAGCGGTCTTGATGTGGATCATATGTTGCCTACATGACACACAAAATTCAAGTATTACGGTCCCAAACATATAAGATAAATATAAGAAATAATTTAAAATGGAAACTTAAAGAATAAAACTCATACGTACTCGATATAAGGTAGGACTTCCTCCGTATTCTCCAAGACATATAGATGTGCTTGGTTCAACAGGTCCCGATCAACTACGCTCACTGTGCAACCTGATAATGGCTTTGAAACTCCCATCTTTTGGCTTGAAGGCACTCCAACTGTACCAACATCAGATAAATGCTCGGTACAAAACTCTACAGCTTCTTCAGCTATATACCGCTCAGCAAAGCAACCTTCGGGACGAGTACGATTCTGAACATACCCCTTTAGCACTTTCATATATCTTTCAAACGGATACATCCATCTAAAATATACTGGCCCACATAGACGAACTTCTCTGACAAGATGTACTACTAGATGAACCATGATATCAAAGAATGAAGGGGGAAAGTACTTCTCAAGCAAACACAAAGTAACTACTACATCTTCTTCCAACTTATCTAGCTTGGAAACATCAACTGTCTTTGCACATATAGCATTGAAGAAGAAGCACAAACGAGTTATTGCATACCTTGCAGGCTTCTCCAAAACAGAACGAATTGCCACAGGGAGCAATTGTTGCATTAAGGTATGACAATCATGTGATTTAAGGCCAAGAAGTCTTGAATCTTGTAAAGATACAAGATTTTTTATATTTGAAGAATAACCTTCAAGGACCTTCATACCATAGAAAGAATTGCAAACCTCTCTCTTCTCTGCTCTTGACAAATTCCAAGGCATGGGAGGCAAACGAGTACGTCTTTCTCCATACTCGGGTTGCAAATCAGTTTTGACCCCCATGTTCAATAAATCTAATCGAGCAGCAATCCCATCTTTATTTTTTCCAGGGATCTCCAGCATTGTACCAATGATACTATCGCAAACATTCTTCTCAATGTGCATAACATCTAGGACATGCCTCACAGGAAGGTATTTCCAATACTCGAGATCAAAGAATATTGATTTCTTCTGCCAACAAACTCTGTCACCATCTTCAACCATATGCAGCACTTCTTCTCCGGTTAATGGCTCAGGAGGCGTGCCATATTCAGGTTTCCCATTAAAAGCTGCACGTTGCCTCCTATATGGATGATTGATCGGTAACCATTTTCTATGCCCAATGTAACAAATTTTGTGGCCATTTTTCAACCTGTGACTAGGTGTATCATCGCCGCATATTGGACAAGCTTTATATCCTTTAACAACACAACCAGATAAGTTTCCATAGGCGGGGAAATCATTAATTGTCCACATTAATGCAGCTCTGAGTGTAAAGTATTCTCCATTATGTGCATCATACACTCCTCCAATCCCATCCCACAAAGATTTTAAATCATCAATCAAAGGCTCCAAGTAGACGTCTATATCATTTCCGGGCTGTTTAGGACCGGAAATCAATAAGGTCAACATCATGAACTTTCGTTTCATGCACAGCCATGGAGGGAGATTATATGTAACTAAGATAACTGGCCAGCAACTATATCTGCTACTTAGAGAACTGTGGGGATTGAATCCATCAGATGAAAGAGCCAATCTCAAGTTTCTCGGCTCATTACCAAACTCGGGCCATTTATCATCAAGAAGTTTCCAAGACGGGGAATCCGCTGGATGAGACATATAACCGTCAATTGATTTTCTAGCAGCATGCCAAGTCAAACTCTTAGCGGTCTCATGTGATCGAAACATCCTTTTAAACCTTGGAATTGGAGGAAAATACCACACCACCTTCGCTGGCACACCCTCTTTCAAGATTGAATCTTTGCCTTCCTTCCACCTTGAGATACCACAATTAGGACAATGAGTTAAATCCTCATACTCCTTCCTATACAAGATGCAATCATTGGGGCATGCGTGCATTTTCTCATAACTCAGCCCCAATGCACACAAAGTCTTTTTTGCCTCATACATAGAGGCCGGTATTGTATTTCCTTCTGGAAGCAAATCGCTTTGAAGTATCAATAATTCTGTAAAACAGACATCACTCATCCCATATTTTGCCTTCAAATTATACAACTTCACTAATGCCGATAACTTCGTGTACTTTCTACAACCAGGGTACAATGGTTGATCTCCATCCCCAATCACATTGGCAAACTCATAAGGATCAGATCCAAAATCACCAAAATCATTATCATCCATCTCTATTTCTTCAGACACAAAACTGTACCTACTATGGTCATCATCTTCTTCAACATTTCTACTAGCATTAGTAGTTGCTTCCCAAGGTTCTCCGTGAAATGTCCAATTCTTATAGCTTTGGTCAACTCCATTAAAGTATAAGTGATCCCTTATAATTCCAACCCCAAACAATTTCAAATTAACACATTTAACACATGGACAACGGATATGTGTGGTAGTTAGAAGATTTTCTACAGAAAAGTTCAAAAATGCTTCCACCCCTAACTCATATGCCTTCGATCTTCTATCCGAGTGCATCCATGACTTATCCATCTCCGACACTATACCCTATTATATATAATAAAGTGAAAAGACAAGCAATGACCATCACTATAGCAGATTATATAAAGTCTAATAGCAAGTAATATACAACAGAGAACACGGTTTTTAAACAAAAACAGACGTATTTGACATATATAGACGACGGATTTTACGTCGTCTAATTATAACCACGACGGTAGTTAAATAACACCGTCGTGTATAAGTAATAAAAACGACGGTTTAAAGTAAAAACCGTCGTCGTATGCCTGAAAACGCGTCGATATCCAGTTTATTTTCAAGATCCCAAAACCCTATTAAGAACACAACATAGACATGAAACCAAGCAAGAAACCAACATATACATGAAACCAACATATACTAAGCATGAAAACAATAAATCCATTCCCAATTCAACATAACAGAGAGTGATTAAAAGATCCGACAAAATGAAATCCATTCCATATTCAAATAACAGAGAGTGATCAAGAAAACATTAAACAGAAAATCCATGAACCCATACCTCCAACAACATTATTAACATATCGCAAAACATATACCTAAAACCCTTTAACAAAACAACGTAATATCATTCAATGAATTTACAAGGGGAAGAGAGGGTTTGTACTTACAGGTTGGCAGAGCTCACAGATTATGACCAAATTGGATTTGACACAGCCTGGAGAGCCCAACTTTGAATTAGAGATGAAGTGAGAGAGCGAAATGTTATGTTGCGAATATGAAAATTTTAGGTCCTGCGAATATTTTAAGAAAGCGCGCTCTTTAAAACATCGACCGAAAAAACAAACGTTGTTAAAATTTAACATTAAACATGACGCTTATTACATTAAGGACGTCGTGGTAAAACTATGTACGACGCAAAATCAAAAAAGTCGTTAAAACTATGAAAAACCACGTCGGAGTTAAGTAATTAACGACGTTGTAAATAACAATAAACGACTCACGTGTAAACAAAACGTCGTTTAAAAGAGAAACCATGTCGGATTTTTCACTATCCGACGTAAACTCAATATTCACGACTCAATCACCGTCGTTAAAAGTAATACCCTAAACTTTAAAACCATAAATTATATATTTGTAAAATTTAATTTTATAAAATTGTTTATGGTTTTACAGCCTAATATATAACAAACATAAACCCTAAACCCCAAAAATTATACTTTAACCCTAAACCCCAAAAATTATACTTTAACCCTAAACCCTAATAAATAACAACCCTAAACCCTAAACCCTAAACCATCAAACTATATAAGTGATGCTATGACTCATCAAAACAATTTTATTTTGGTTGGTCATTTTAAACTTTTATTACACAAACTGCATTTTTTTGGGGTTTAGGGGGAAGAAAATATATCAATGACTTCATAGGAGTTGAAGTTGAATTTTTTGAATTTATTTTAAATTTATTTTTAAAATTTTGAATTAAAAATAATAAAATATTCTTATATCAACAAGAAACCACGGCGGGGTTAAGTAACTAACGACGTTGTAAATGTTAATAAACGACTAACGGGTAAAAAAACGTCGTTTAAAAGAGAAACCACGTCGGATTTTTCACTATCCGATGGAAACTCAATATTCCACGACTCAATCACCGTCGTTAAAAGTAATACCCTAAACTTTAAAAATATAAATTATATATTTGTAAAATTTAATTTTATAAAATTGTTTATGGTTTTACAGCCTAATAAATAACAAACATAAACCCTAAACCCCAAAAATTATACTTTAACCCTGAACCCTAATAAATAACAACCCTAAACCCCAAACCCTAAACCCTAAACCATCAAACTATATAAGTGATGCTATGACTCATCAAAACAATTTTATTTTGGTTGGTCATTTTAAACTTTTATTACACAAACTGCATTTTTTTGGGGTTTAGGGGGAAGAAAATATATCAATGACTTCATAGGAGTTGAAGTTGAATTTTTTGAATTTATTTTAAATTTATTTTTAAATTTTGAATTAAAAATAATAAAATATTCTTATATCAACAACAAACCACGACGTTGTAAATAATAATAAACGACTCACATTTAAAAAGGACGTCGTTTAAAAGAGAAACCATGGCGGATGTTTCACCATCTGACGTAAAATACATATTCCACGACCGAATCACCGTCGTTAAAAAGTATTAACCTAAACCCTAATAAACGACTTACTTGTTCAAAAGGACGTCGTTTAAAAGCGAAACCATGGCGAAATTTTCATTAAAACGACGTCCCATGTATGTACAAACGTATATCACGTCTAAATATCATTTTACGTCGGTTTTTTTACATAATTATGTCGTTGGAAAGTTATTACACATTGGTTACGCAATTTGTTTTTTCTTTTATATTATGAAAACCTCAGCAAATTTTCAGGGAAAAAAAGGATGTATATTATAGACAAAATTTGTACATTATATATTATAGACAAAATTAGTACATATAAAAATATCAAGTGTTCCAAAAATCCTCTATTCCATATGAAGGCAAACAAACTCTGCCCATTCTTTCCGGACTTCATCAATGGCTGCTTGGGGGTATGGCGCTTGATCTTTTCCCTTGGCAAACTGCAATCCATAAACAATGATTATTAAGCTTTACAAAATAAAAAGAAATTCAGACACAGACGACGTTTTTTTTTCATAACCGACGTAGTCTATCGATTCAACGACGGTAATTTTAAAGGACCGTCGTTGATAATACAAAAAACCACATAAAATGTTTCTGAAAAATTTTCTTCTTACCTTCTTCTCAAACTCCAAGGAAGGATCCATGATGATGTCCCTCATGAAGCGCATCACATAATACCCGCATTCGACACTGCTGGGTTGCTTTGGTGTGCCTGGCAGAGTTTTCCAAATTGGTGCTTTACGGCCTGGTCTGCCTATGTGGGAATTATAAATTTTTAAAGCACTGTTCACGATGTTTTTGCCCTCCTCATCAACCACACGATTTCCAGGCAGAGGATCCAGAAAATAGACGGTTTCCCTCTTTGCTCTCACAATCAGCAAGACCCAATGACGGCTGCACAAAAATAAAATAAAAAACGACGGTTAATATAAAAAGTCAGCACAAGAAAACAAACGACGGTTATTTATAAAAACCGACGTATTATATAGTTTCACACGACGTAATAACTTAATCATCGACGTCATTATAAATTTATCACGACGGTAATTAACTACCGACGTGGTTAGTTGTTTCAAACGACTCAATAAATAAATAACCGACGTGGTTAGATGTTTCAAACGACACAAAATTAGTTAAACAGTTTTATAAGTGGTCAGTTAGTGAAAATCATACAAACAAAATCCTTTTAAGGAGACTAACCCTGGATTGTAAGGCATCATGAAAATTTGTTCACCATCTGTTTTCTGAAGTCGACTGGCTACAATTCGTGATCTGTCAGTTAGTGACCCAGCGTTGGCACTAACTTGAGCAGGGTCGATAAAGCCAACCATGCTGCACATATTTGCTTCTCTCAAAAGATCATATAAGCACCTAAATATATAAAACAAACGACGGTTATTTATAAACAAACGACGTATTATACAATTTCACACGACGAACTGAAATAGAAACAGACGTTATAACTAATTTATCACGACGGTAAAAAAAGAACGACGTGGTTAGTGGTTTAAAACGACGCAATAATTAAACCACCGACGTCTTATGATATAATGTTTGATATTTGATAAGGACAAACCTCATATATACTGCAACCACAGTAGCCCCAATTTCTTCCATGCCTGCAAACTGTGTAATATCTTCATGCAAGACGAAGGTACCTCGATCTGCACCAAACACCTCCTTCTCAATGTTGAAGGTCATGATCTTCCCCTGTGGCTTTAGTGTCGTTTCCACATAACGACAAAGGGATTGTAAGGAAGATGGCACCTCCACATTTGAATAATCAACTACTTCATTACCCTGTTTAAAGAAATAAAGCAAAATAAAATGACGTGGTAATTCAATAAAAACGACGGTTTAAATTAAAAAAACGTCGTCTGATTATAATTTAAACGACGGTAATTAAAAACCGTCGTTTTAGATAATTTATTACGTCATAGAAAATAAATTCCGACGTCTAATTTGAAAACAAACGACGGTTTAAAGAAAAATATCGACGTCTAAAATGTGAAAAACAAATTAAAAAGGCAAAGTTATGAGAATATACCTCCTCGTCATGCTTTTCTTCATCTTGTTTTTCTTCTTTCTTCTCTTCATCATTTGTGTCTTCCTTTTTGCCTTCATCTTTTTTCTCTCTTTTTTTCTTCCTTCTTCCCTTCATCTTTTTTTTCTCCCATCTTCTCTTCATCTTTTTTTTCTTCTTTCTTCTCTTCATCTTGATTATCTAAAGCCCCATATTTCTGTTTTAAGTAATAAAGAAATATATATATAAGACAGATTGTACAGAAAGTAAAAAAATTAAATCAAAACGTCGTGGTAAGGCATAACATAAGACGGTATGTAAGAATTATGGACGTCTTAAAATTATTAAACGATGGTAAATAATAAACGTCGTGGTAATTGTCTATTACGTCGTTAAGGACTAAAACCGTCGTCTAAAAACCACAAAGTACGACGTCTAATGGCGTGTAAAACAAGTAAACTAAATACGACGTGGTATTTAAATAAAAACGACGGTTTATTTATAAAATCGTCGTGGTATGGTTTTAAAACGACGGGTTTATTCATAATAACGACGTCTAATGTTTTAAAAAAAACAGAGAATTCAAAGTTCAGATATGTTACCGTTTCTTCCTGCTGTTCCCCATTTTTGGCAGTATCATCCTCTAAATGTAGGGATCTCACATCAGCCCCAGAACAGCTTGCTTTATCAGACATTGGATTTTTGGGACTTTGCTCTAGACCTTGGTTTTGACAGGGGCTAGTTTTCGGTTTAAGCATGCTTGGATCAAAATTGGGGATGAGGTGGGAAAGCTGACTTAGTAAATGTTCCCTCTCAGCCTCTACCAATTGTTTGGTTCTAGCCTCCATCCTTAAAGCCTTCCCTGATCTAGCTTCCATCTTCTTAGTCTCTTCTTGAAGGACAATTCTTACACTTTCCTTCAATTGATCGGCAAACTTTACCCTCTGTGGTCTAGGTAAATTGAAGAATTTCCTAGGGGAAATCCCAGCACCTACCCCTCTTACTCTCCCTGGATGCTCGGGACCCAAAGCCAAGGTCAACACATCATTACTGCCAGTTAAACTAAGACTGCCTTCAGCCACTTGTTTTTGCAATTCATCCTAAAACAAAGACATACAAAAAAGTCAGCACAAGAAAACACACGACGGTTATTTATAAACAAACGACGCATTATATAATTTCACACAACGCAACAATATAGAAATCGACGTTATAATATATTTATAACGACGTTAATTAAAAACGACGTGGTTAGTTGTTTCAAACGACGCAATAAATAAACCACCGACGTCTTATGCTGTAATTACAGAAAACAGAGTTGTGATTCCAGATTTAGATCTTTCACGACGTTTTTGAAAACATTTCGACGTAGTAATAACATTAACACGACGAAAAAAATTAACCACCGACGTCTTATGCTATAATTACAGAAAACAGAGTTGTGATTCCAGATTTAGATCTTTCACGACGTTTTTTAAAACATTTCGACGTAGTAAAATCATTCACACGACGGAAAAATATAACATAAGACGTAATAAGAATTATACACAGTTTAATAAAAATTTAAAACAGAGTGTGTAGGCTTACAATTAATTTTGCTTTCTCTGCCACCTTTGGATCCGGGATGTTACCATGTTTGTCCTGTCTAGCTTTCTTCCATAAGGTAGATCGATCAATTTCTACCCCAGGCATGGTTTCCTCCAATTGATCCTCCAAACCAGCATATCCTTTTCGAGACAATCGATGATTGTACTCAAGTTTCTCCCTAATCTGTGAATGTTGAGAATGCACAGACTCAAATTCTTTGGATAACCTTGAAGCTACAAAGGCATCCCATTCTGCTTTCTCTATGAATTTATATACTTCAGGGGGTTGGCTTAATTTCTCCCTCTCCTTGATGTATGGAAGTAATATAATGCCTCGTCAATGTAGACTTGAAATCCTTCCATTTCTTGGCAGCAGAAGATAACACCGAGGTCTTGCCCCCTTGACCTACCACAAAAGCCATGTCAACGGCTTCCCAAATCTGCTCCTTTATATCCTTGGGGATTTCAGCCCATTTCTTGTCCACAAGTGGGACTCTGGAGCGTGCCAACACACCAATGTAGGACTGCATCTCAGTATGTGCAGGGCCACATCCTTTCCCCCTTTTATTGTACTCAACAACTGGCTTGATTTTCTGCAATTTTCTCTTCACAACACGAGGCATTGTGCTCATACCTCGACCTGACTTTGAATCCTCAGAAATTGTTGTCGTGCTGGTTGGTTCTGTCTCAGCAGATGAAACAAACTTCATCTTCTTCAAGGGCTTGTCTTGAGGAGTTACCATTCCAAGCTCCTTACCTCCATTTTTTTTGGAGCCAGAGTCCTTACTTTGGTCTTGAGAAACCATGGTTACAGAAAAAACAAACCTGCAAGTGAAAATATTTCAGGAAAAAATTAGAACACAAACGACGGTTATTTATAAAATACGACGTATGATAAGATTTTACACGACGTAATAACATAACATCAGACGTAATAAATGTTTAAAGAAGAAACAATATAAATGTTTAAACAACGACGAAACAATATTAAATAAGACGTAATAAAACTTATTACGGCGATATTTACACGACGTCGTGATATTCAAATTAACACGACGTAAATATTAATATAACGTCGTGTTATGGATATTCACACGACGTGAATAATAAGCTACCGTCGTATTTATAAGAAACCAAAAACATTTTTCTTTCTCTGTGAATGTTTGATTGCAGGTTTAATTTCTCTGAAACATGGTTTTTGGTTTTCCTAATTTGATAAAATACAAAGAAAAGAAAGAAAGCTTTGGCATCTTTTTATAGACGACGGTATCTTAGTATAACGTCGTGGTATGAACATTCACACGGCGTCAATAATAAGATACCGTCGTCTATATAAGATACCAAACCCTACTTTCTTTGTCTTTGTATTTTATCAAATTAGGAAAAACGAAAACCATGGTTCAGAGAAATCAAACCTGCAACTAAACAAGCAAATAAAAAATTGACCGTCATTTTAAAAACAACTTAGATCAATTTTAAGACGACGTTAGGACGACTGACGAACCGTCGTGGTCTACATATTTAACCACGTAAATAAGAAGCTACCGTCGTCTTATTTAGTTGAATTAGTTGTGTTCAAAGTTGGAAACTTTCCCTCTCTGTCTGTGTATTTTATCAAACTTGGAAAGAATAAAAATGATTTTCGCCAGAAAAAAGGTAAAAAGATTTTCAAAACAAAAACCGTATGAGCATGCAAAATAGCAACAAAAATAGTGAGAAATGAAAGCTTACCTTTTGCGTGCAATGAAAGCTTTCTCTCGGATTTTGGTGTTTAAGTTCAGAGGCGACGACGAAGACGAGAGGAAGACGATGAGATACTCTGACAGTGCTCTGACAAGGAAAAAAGACGAAAAGTTTTCTCTGGGAGATTGAAATTTTTTCTCGGGTTTGGAAACAGTGCATGTGTAAGTCAGGTAGACGAAAAGTTGTATATGTATACAAACCGTTTCATAGTAATAAGACGGCGGTTTACATAGAACGACGACGTATTAATAGACAAACTACGACGATAATTTGAACTTAGGATGTGGTACATAAATACGACAGTAGTGTTGTAGGTACCGCCGTAGTAAACTCCTAAATAAAAGTCGATAACTCAATATCTCGCGTCATGGTAGAAATATTTAACACGACGGTTTTTTTAAATTTACGACGTTTATTTTTATAATATACGTCGTTTTATTGTAATATACCGACGTGGATAACACTAAACTAAAACGACGTAATATTTTTTTCGCGACGTGGATTCGTTTTTAAACGTCGTTATGTGTAATATAACCGACGTGGATTTTATTTTTTTATTATAAATATAATTTTTTTTCCCTTTTTCTTTCAGTTTATTTTTCAAAAACAGTGCCTTATAAATATAGTTTTTTTTCCCGAGGAAATTAATGTTCTAGAATTTGTAAAGTTTCTTTTCGGGGTGACTGATTTAAATCAAATAAAAATATAAAAACAACGACTGTTTTTTGTTATACCGTCGTCTTTTCTTGTCGTCTTAAGTAAGAATAAAACGACGTAATGTATTTTTTTACCGACGTGGATTATTTTTGTTAAACGTCGTTATGTGTAATATAACCGACGTGGATTTGGTTTTTTAATTATAAATAGGGTTTTTTTTCACGGGTTCTTTCAGTTTTAGTATTCGATTAGGGTTTCAACTTCTTCTTGCCCCTTTCTCTGTCTCACCTCATCTCTTGGGAGGCAATTGTTTGAATGTTGGTTTGTGTGTATGTTTGTGTATCTGATTCACAAACATACACACATCACCAATTTTCAATAAATTGTCTCTCTGATTGCAAATCTGTGGCTGCCATCGTGAAGTTTTAGGAGGCAATTGTTTGGATGTGGATGTGTGTTACACAAACGCACACACATCATTCACTTCCAAAAAATTGTCTCTCTGATTCCAAATCTGAGGCTGCCGTCGTCAAATTTCGGAAGCAATTTTTTGGATGTTAATGTGTATGTGCGTTTGTGTATCTCAAAGACACAAATACACATACATCATTAACCTCTAAAATATTGTCTTTCTGGTAAGATTATGATGAGCAACAGAGTTCCATCTTGTAAGATTTCCTAACCCTTGTAATCTCAGAATAATCTGATTATGTCGGCGGTTTTCTATATAAACCGTCGTGGTTATTTCAATTCTTGTCATTAAGTAGATCTACCGACGTAGGATAACAAAATCCAAGAAATAAATTGTTAAAAAAAATTCTTATTCAGACGACGGTTTAAATATAATGTATGACGTATAAAGTGGACAAATACGACGTTAAATTGTATAATACGTCGTTAAATGAAAACCCCAACTTGGTAAGATTTAAAGATATCGTCGTAGAAATACGAGAAAGACGTCGTTATATTTACCTTTGCCGTAGTTGTACAAATTTAATACGGCGGTATTTTGTATTTTACCGCCGTGGATTTATTTGTAATTTTACGGCGCCTTATACAAAAACTTTGTCGTGTTAATTTCTGGGTAAAAACGACGGCTTTTTTTGAAATCGTCGTCTTTACTTTCTACGTCGGTCGGTTCATAACTTCCGCCGTTATTTGTTGGCTATGATTTTACCACTTGAAAATCCTATTTCAATAAGACGTCGGTTTTTTAATTAAGTACGTCGTGTTTTAGGAACAGCCATTTGAAACTCAATTTTTTAGTTGTCTAATGTGTTATTACACGGCAGTTTTATAAAACCGTCGTCTTTTAAAAAACAACGACGGTTTTCACTTAGACCGTTGTGTTTTTCTGGTCGTCTTTTTCACTTTTTGTAGTAGTGACAGGTTAAGAAAGAGAAGAATGGAAATAGAGTTGCTACAAAAGTGGGGAAGGTAGGAGGTGCTATTAAATTGTCACAACAAATTGAGCGGATGGTTGATGTAATTTCTACCTGGTGCAGGGCCTAGAAGCCATTTGTGGTTGTTTGCAACTCGGTTATTTCTAAATCAAGAGAAAAGAGGAATGTTCACAACTTGATATTGTATGCCTTATGGCTGTTGATATCATAAAACCGTTGGATCCTGAGTTTAAGGGAGTCCCAGAAGAGATATTGAGAGATTCAAGATATATGCCCCATTTTAAGGTAAAAATTAGATACAACAATTTATCGTTTGTTTTACGAACAAAACAATATTTATTGAAATCTTTCTCTTATTGTTTGCAGGATTGCATTGGTGCTATAGATGACGTACATGTTAAAGCCTCAATGCCTCCTGAAGATCAAGTACCATATATTGGCAGGAAAGGAATACCGACTCAAAACATAATGGCTGCATGTAATTTTGACATGCAATTCATATTTGCATGTGCAGGTTGGGAAGGCACTGCACAGGATACAAGAGTATTTTTATCAGCATTACGAAATAATGCTTTAAATTTTCCCAAACCTCCAAATGGTAATGTTTCAAATATGTGCATATCAAACTTCGAATTTTTGTACTTTCAAATTATATTATAATTAAACATATCTTATTGGTTACAGGAAAATATTATCTTGTGGATGCGGGTGGGTATTTGGGGCCATATAAAGGTGAAAGGTATCATCTTCCAGATTTCCATAGGGGTACTTAACCAACAGGTTCTAGAGAAGTATTTAATCACGTACACTCTTCCCTTAGGAGTGTCATTGAACGCACTTTTGGTGTATGAAGAAAAAGTGGAGTATTTTACGAGACATGCCTAGCTATCCATTCAATAAGCAAGTGAAGATAGTAATTGCAACTATGGCACTTCACAACTATATAAGGAGGCATGCCCAACGTGATATTCATTTTGACAAAGTGAATGACAACCCAAATGCAATGGAGATGGAGGGTGATACACAAGAAGAATATCATATTACTCAAGGGCCTGGAGCACAAGAACTAGAAACATTAAGGAACAAGATTGCTGCAAGTTTAATGCATGCATCTTCTTAGATATTTGTTTTATTTCCATTTATTTAAGCCTAGTTTCAATGTTTTTTTTATTGCTACAATTTGAAGGATGGTTTATGAATCTACTACCATGGTGATCTCTTTATCTTTTGGAATTTATTCAATACATAATTATGTTTGTTTATCCCAAACCTTGAGGTTGTTCTAGTAGAATATGAAGTGATTGTGTATTATGGTATTTGAGGCTAAAAAAAGAAAAAAGCATGTTATATTTGGTCCTAGAAAAAAAATTATATATATATTTTTTAAATTTGAATTTGAATTTTTACTTTTCTTTAAGCAAAGATTAATATAATTTTTTGGGAGAAAAGTATAAAAGCACTTTACAGTTTTATTTTTTACCAAACAAATTAGTAAAAAGCACTTTCAGCATCATGTCCATTTTAGTCATTATAAATAGTTACAGCACTTTTACAATAAAAATTACCAAACGCTCTGACACTACTTTTCATACTCACAGCGCTTTTAAAATTATAGTTTACCAAACGTTTAACTACTTTACTTTACAGCTAATTCTTTTTAAAACACAGCAGAAGCAGCTTTTTTTTAAAGCGGCAACAATCCCAAACTAGGTCAGACCAAAAACAAAAAAACAAAAAATGATTACAAAACAAACCCAGCAGATGACCTCCACACCATTCTCTCCTCCGCGCAACGCATAGAGCTAATGGCGGAAAAACAAAAAACAAAAAACCCCAAACTCTTAATTCTACATGGCCTTCAAGCTCCAAATGCAAGAAGCCATAACCGCCTCTCTTGCTCTCAAAACCCTCGTCGTCGGCCTCCGTTTCGAGTTCTCGCAACTTGAACGAACAACTCCGTTTTGGACCTCTCCGCCACCACGCTCATGCTCCTCCTCGAGGATGTCTAACGATTAGCTCAGCAGAGTGAGATGAAGACCCAGGAAGATCTCAGACGTTGGATTCACGATCAGAAGTTCGCCGCCCAACTGTACGGATGGATCGTCTTCGTCATAGCCGACTCGCATTGAGATCTGGTGCATAGGGTGGGGTGGGGTTGTTGGAGGTCCAAGAAGGGAAAGGGGCTGATGAGATCTCGACATGGAGCTGGTGGATTGTGGATTGGGAGCCAGAGATGGGTGCTAGTGCTAGAGTAAAGTCTGAATTTCTGGAAACTGAAATAAAGTGAAATTTATCCAATAAAAAAGAAAAAGAAATAAAACGTTATCAATCTCTAATTTGATAATTAATTTATTAAGGTTTAAGCAATTAAGGGGGGTGAATTCAATTAGGATTGTATACGATTTTGAAAGATTTTTTTTAAACAACAGATTTCCTGGAATTCTATAACTCCTATAGGCTTTACCTGGATTTTTAATAAACTTGTATAGGCTTTTATTATAGACTTCCATACTTTTGTATGAACTTTTGTTATAGATTCAAATATATTTGCATAGACTTCCCAATACTATTTTCTTTTATCACTCTTTATTCCCAACACTATTTTCTTTAAACTATCTTGACTTAGCCACTAGTCAACCATCCCCTTTGGGTGATGGAAATATATCTCAACCTTCCGTCGCCTTGACCTTGGCTTCATGCCGAGATGATCTCCAGGGGAACTTATAGGAGATAGAGAAATCTCTAGCCGAGCTTTCCTCCTAGCAACTCCAACTGATTGATTTGAAGAAATCACTAATGGAGGAGCTTTCCTTAATACAGGACGCTTGTAACCACCCAAGGTCAGTGCATGGCTCAGTGCATGTTTGCCAAACAATGGAAAATTTTCTAAACATAGAGAGAGAAAAAAAACATGTCGTATGAAATCTTTGGGGTGGAGGTTGGACTTATGTTGGCCTTTATTATTTATACCTAAACCCTACAAATTCTCCAAACTCCAACACTTAATTAAATCCTTCCAAATCTATCTCCTTTTGAATACAGGTAAATTTATTTGGACTTTTTCCAAGTCCTAATTGAATACACCCACATTTATATGGACATTTTAAGAGTTCAAACAAGTCTTAGATTGAATACACCCAAAATGTTATAGACTTTTTAAAAGTTTGTATAAATCTAAATTGAATACACCAGGATTTTTAAAATCTTTTTAAATGCTCTAGAATCCTAATTGAATACACGCCCCTAAATCTTTCATTAGTTATTTTTAAAGGATATTTTAGGAATAATGGTGGGTGGAAAGATATGATTGTATTTTTTCAAATTTACATGGTGGGTGGAAGGATAAGGTCCGTGACCATCTTATGGATATGAGCTTCTTTTACACCCATTGACCATTCATAGAGAGAGAGAGAGAGAGAGAGTTTTGGAGTGGCTGAGTTGGGGATCGGGAGGTGGGTATGAGTGGGAGAGGAAAGGGTTGCATCCTTTGGAGGAGGAGGATTTATTTTCTCTGTTTTTTTAGTTATGTCTTCTGATGTAATAAGGCACTTGCTTGTTCTTATAATTTCTTTTTCTTTTTTGTTGATTTTTGATTTACAAGCTACAAAAAAGACAGTGGACACCATTTCAAAGAAACCAATTTGGTTTTGGTTACTCGCCATTATTTGTGTGTACTCCTCACAAATAGTATTTGTAACATTTTATTTTAATAAAGTTTGCCATAATTATCATGCTGATAATAAAGTTGATTTTGGTAGATTCTTGCACAACTACCAGAATTGAAGACTGTACGGCCCCAACCCTATTATGGGTGGTATATAATCTCCATATAATCTCGTTGTCAATTAATTTTTCTTTTCACATACCTATTTTTGTGCTTGACCTGTTTGAAATGGTTGGTTTCGTTAATTGCATTATGGGGTAGTGAGAATGTTGAAGGGAACAAAGATTCCTCTGTCAAAAGAATCAATCCATCTTCAAAATGCTTGACAGGAAACGAGTAAAACATGGGAAGATTTGTATGTATGTGAACCCGTTCACTTGCCTTTGCGGCGGCGTTTTGTCTCATCGATGTAGTCACCACGCAAAACTTTAAAACATTCTGATGCCCTGGTCAATTGTTTGCTCACCCGCTGTTGTGTTCACATATATGGCTGGAGGTTTTACAGAGAATTTGTTGAGGGTTGATCCCAATCTCTGGTGTGAAGAGACGTTCCCTGTGCTGATCTAAAAACAATGAAACGTTCTTTAAAATAGTTTTGAAATGTCAAACTTTAAATCTTCACCACATATTCGGATATGATTCTGCTGGTGGCCCAAAGGAATGTATCCAGGAAAAAACAAACGTTTATCAGGGCAATAACTTTTGAGTACTTTGTGAAGGCCAAGTCCTCTCCTGGTGGCCCAAAGGATTTCAATGTCAATAATTTGCATTCTGTGGTTGTTGTTTGCTGACTTCTCAATTTGCAGAGATGTTTGCATACTTTTCAAGCATGTTTGCTCTTATATATATAAATATACATGTGAGCAACGGCACATACACAAAGCAACATGCTAGTGCAAGCTTATAACCTAATGGCTCATCCCTTCCTTCTCTTCATCTTATTCTCTTGCATTATATCTACAAATATTCATGCCTGCAAACAAACTGAACGCAGCTCCCTCCTGTCCTTTGCCTCCACTCTATCTTCTCCTCCTTTAAATTGGACATCCTTTGATTGCTGTCGTTGGAAGGACATCACTTGTGATCAAGATGGTTGGGTCATCGGTTTGCTCTTGCCTTCCAAAGGGCTCAAAGGAAGTATCTCTCCCTTTTCACTTGCAAATCTCACACATCTCACCCACTTGAACCTATCCCACAATTCACTATATGGTTCACTTGAAACTCAATTCTTCTTGTCTTTGAATCAACTTGAGATCCTTGATTTGAGCTATAACCGTCTTTCTGGAAAGCTACCAATTTCTCTACCATCTAGCAATATCCAGATAGTTGATTTGTCCAGCAATCACTTCTTTGGTGCAATTCCATCTTCATTCTTCCAACAAGCAAGCAACTTAACTACTTTCAATGTCAGCAACAATAGCTTCACAGGGTATGTCCCATCCTCTATTTGTCTCCAACATTCTTCTCCCTTCCTTAGGCTATTGGATTTTTCTTCCAATCTATTTAATGGTGACCTTGCTCTTGGGTTAGGGAAGTGTTCTGAACTGCAGGTTTTTCGTGCCAATCACAATAAACTCTCAGGATTACTTCCAGAAGATATCTATAATGCTACCAAACTTGAAGAAATTGCATTACCTCTCAATTCACTACATGGAGCCATTAGTGATAAAATTGTCAACCTCACCAACCTTGCCATCCTTGACCTTTCCTTTAATCATTTTGGCGGCGAGCTTCCTATCAATTTGGGGAAGCTCTCCAAGTTGAAGTTTGTGACCTTAGATTTCAACAATTTAGAAGGTGTGTTGCCCCCATCTTTGATGAATTGCACAAACCTTGTAGAACTACGTTTGGGAAACAACCACTTGGAAGGAGATATATCTGTGCTTGATTTCTCAAGACTGAGTCAACTTACTAAACTTGACCTAAGGATCAATAACTTCACTGGTACGGTTCCAGTAAGTCTTTACTCATGTAGGTTCCTAAAAGCCATTCAGTTGACTGGAAATAATCTAGAGGGACAAATACAAGCTAAGATACTTTCATTGAAATCCTTGTCCTTCCTCTCTCTTGGTTACAACCGATTCACCAACCTCACAGGGGCAATGAAGATATTGATGAGTTGCAAAAGTCTTCACGCACTCTTGCTTAGCGGTTCCTTTGTGGGTGAGGGAATGCCATCTGATGATGACATGGTTGATTTTGATGGATTCCAAAATCTTCGGGTGTTGGGTTTGGTTCGTTCTAACCTCACTGGTCAAATACCTTTTTGGTTATCAAAGCTCAAAAATTTAGAGCTCTTGGCTCTGGGTTTTAATCAAATCACAGGGCCGATTCCAAGTTGGTTGGGGACTCTTCCTAGACTGTTTTATATAAGCTTGTCACACAACCGAATTTCAGGTAAATTTCCACAGCAACTTTGTCGACTACCAAGGTTGCTTCGTGAACCAATTGCATCT